TATTTCAAAACAAATAATATAACAACACAAAATTTACTAATCCCCAAACAGACCACGAAAAAGCAACAAATCTTTTCAAATGAATCATAATAACATTCTATAAACTTCCTAATCCCAGAAAAACTTCAACGATCTTCTTGGATTAGCAACTTAAGAAATAAAAGTCATCAAATTATTTGATCATAAACATTTTTTAAATCCAATTTTGGCCCATTCTCAAGTATACCGAATTCATATAAATAATCATTAATTTATTCATAAAGATATAAAAAAGAAACAAAGACGTCAACTTGATAGTAATGAACTATGAAAAATAACGAAAGTAATACATATAACATAAAGAAGAACATCTGAAAAGTAACGAAACAGTTCTAGAAATAAATAAAGATAAACAGAACGGAAGTCGGACGTGTATGTAAATAGTTAAGACATGTAAATATAAATTTATCTGCAACCGCTAAAACTATTCCTGGGCGTGAAACATTGTACGGAAGGACAGTGATTTATGAAGGCGATTAAAATAGAAAACTAAATAGGTTAATAACAACACTGTAATGATTTTGTGGATTCTTTCGATTAATGATAATTTATATTAAGTTTACAAAGGCTTGATCTCATTTGTGAATGAATATGATCATTATCAAATAATACAATTATTTAAAAGAAGGTATTTTTAAAGATTTTAGTCAGGTTTAATATAATAATGAAGCTATAGGTACTTTACAGCGTATCTGCTAACAAATTTAAAATTACAACTATTAATTGTACTTTAAACCATGAAGCGGGATAGCTAGGAATAACGTCATCCATAAAAATAGTTTTAATATATTAGATTATTCAAATTTTGCATATGCAAATTAGATCGAACATTCGAGGCAGTTTTATATAGCACCTTAGGCACATCTATTTGTAATTGAAATTACAGTAATTACAGATAAATTACATTAATCAAAAACAAACTATATTCCAATGAGTTAAGTGGAAATTTGCATATCGCCAGAACGGGATCATTATTAATAAGTAGGAAGTCGTCCCAAGTTCGGGCGCGCAGAGCGGGCGTCTCATAGTTATGCGAGGTTAACACATGAGGTTAATTAAGATCAGAAGCGGGATCCATAACTAGCTAACGTCGCTACCGACACTCGGAGCGAGTTTACCGAGTGCTTCCCCTTAATTGATACGATTTCATCGTCATCACGATCGTCGAGCGCTCGCTTATTACCGCCACGCACTTTATCAAATTAACGTTTTGTTGGTAAACTGTTGCATTAATCTATAGCGTTTTCTCTCCACGCGTTCGGTGCTATCGTTCGGAAGAGGTGACTAGTCAAACCGAATGCGTGTGCCCGCGAATAAAAATGCACCGGTTCCAGCTTTATTCCGGGCCGCATCGGGGAAATAAAAAACTGCTAATTAACACAGAAGTCGAGTCGAACCATCAGATGCTGGTTGATCCGTCGCCCATTACGCTACACTTCCAAATTTATATTACAGTAGTACCATTGACCTTGAACGGTGGTAGGGCCACGCAACAGCCTCGGCTGATGCACGAATGGGCAGGCCCGTCCGGGTAAGTACCACGACCTCACAGAAGACCAGCGTAAAGTGGAAGTATGACAAATACTTTCGCGTTTCGTCTGGTGAGTGAGGTAGCCGGAGCCCAATTTTCAAAAGGTTGTCAACGCATCTGTAATCCTCGGGTGTGGCAGATGTCCATGGGCGGCGGTATTCACTTAACATCAGGTGAACCGTCTGCTCGTTTGACAACTTTTCGCATAAAAAAAAAAAAAACCATAAAAAGTAAAAGTTCATGTAGTTTTTTAATACAACTAATATTATAATCAACCCAAGCTAATGTTATGATTATATATATATATTTATTTTGGATCGTACGTTAATTCACAGTGATTTGCAATTTCAAACAAGTATATCAATTTCGTGATATTACTAAGAAGCAGCGACGTAACCAGAACTATGTATTTAAATTTATTGCTTCCACAAACGTTATCCGCATGTTCCGCCACCCAACTGCAAAACTATTAATGTTATAACAAAAACACATATACTGGATAGAAGTCATGCACTTTTATTACCATATGTTGTATTGTATTTATTATGTTTTTTGTAATTCGCCTTCTTTGAACTACTACTAGATTAGTAAAATGATGGTGACTGTAGAACAACAAACTATTCATTTTATATTTTTCATAAAATAAGTCACTAAAATAAAACGAAATTGCGTAAAATAAAAAAAAAGTCATCTAACTCACCCGTTGGTAATCTTCTTAATATAAAAATGAATTGTTGTTCGTTAGTCTCGCTAAAACTCGAAGAACGGCTCGACCGATTTGGCTAATTTTGGTTTTGAAATATTTGTGGCAGTCCAGGGAAGGTTTAAACGATGAGAAATTATGGAAAAATCGAAATAGCAACAATTTTATTATATTTTCCCATACAAACTGTACCTGTCAACCTGTCAATTGGCAAACACTTTATGCGTGCGTTCCGATTCCTCTAGAAATAGTTCATATGGCAAAACAATGTTTGCCAACTCAGCTAGTTGAAATCATAAAGATAAGACGCCGTTTTTAATTTTCATTATGTTTGGTTTAAGTTAATTAAATTACGCAAAAATTTATTACAAGCTTATTATACGAGAGCCGAGTATTTGCTAAAAGTAATTTAACTGGAATATGATTTAAAAAGCAATACGAACATCGGGTGTCTTTATGAGCAAGAAACAATGCTACATATATTATACATGTGTGCGCTTGGAATTAATTAGACAAGTTTACGGCCGGCCTTTATTTGCTACCACTTGTTAATGTTTCAAAGAGTTAATAAAGATAATTAAAGAGTTACCAATTTATGTCGCAAATGGACGCAATATAATTTCAAATGTTAACAAGGTTATCATTGTCGCTTTTTCATATCCATTTTCCGCCATAAGGAGAAATAAATTTTAATATTAAACTGATAACTATAAGGCTAAAATAAATAAAACTATAGTTAAAGAAAATTTTATATATAAATAGGACATAGATGCACACAAGTTCACAAGGCTGAATTTAACCAGTCAGCGATAGATAAACATGTAAGCAACCTTAAAAACTGAAACAACCTCGAACTTTTGAAGATCCTTGTTTTATATATAATCTTACATTTAAAAGAAAAAAATATAAACATATTAGATTTTTTCGCAAAAAGATTACCTCACCTCAAACGCCACAGAAGATGTTATATATTTTAGTCAGATATTTTTACTTTACTCTCTGTGACTTCCTAAAAGCAACCTTTGCAGTTAAAAAACACCCCTCTTATACGTTAGTACTACATTTGAGAGATTTATTCTATATTTGGATTCATTAATTGTCGACTTTCCTTTTGCTCCGAAAATTCCTTCCTTCTTAAGGCAGCTATTTATACATCAAAAAGGTGGGCATATTCCTTATACGTATGTATGTCTATTAAGTCTTATTAATAAGTATAAGCTTCAAAGTTGCAAATGAACGATTTCGATTCTGGTAGAAATTATTACAATTGACGTCTCAGTAAGCGTCCATTAATGTTGACTCATCAAACAGGTGTCCAGCTAAATACACAATGAATTTAGCGGCAAACAGAATGCGTAGTGTATTCAACTACATTTAGCTGTCAACGGCATCACTCGCACCATTGGGTATGGTCGTCTCTGTCAGACGTGGTATCCACGTGACAGGCGACAAGTGGCATGCCGACTGAGTCTCGAGTAGCAAAATTAAAAATTCCTTTGTCAGAATCGGCCGTCGAATAATGATTTGTGCGCGTCACCGTCGGCCTCCGTCATACTTGCGCCAAATTTTCAAGCGGAGACATTTTTTTTGGCGTTTTTCGACGGCCGTCCGTACGGCGGGCGGGAACTGCGTTTATTTATTAACAAAATTCGCCCGTCCGCCTAACACGTCCACCTGACGCGTCAATCCAATATCGGCCGTAACGCGTCGAAATTGAATAACAAATTGGCCGTCGGTGCGGTGGAGCGTTAAGCCCTTTTTCACCGGCCGCCGTTTACGAGGCTGCATAGGCGCGACGCGGCAATGCGTCCACGCGCTCCACCCATATCAATTTCGAATGGGTTTCCTATCCTATTCGGGCGGCGCGGAGCGATCGAGTTTTGATCGTTTTGTGTGTAAAACTGTTGCCCTAAATTAAACGCTTTAATAAATAATAGAATAGGAACAAAAAACGAATTCGTCGACGCAGTTGACAGAAACGCCCGTATGCGGACGTGGAGCGTGCAAAGGGTTTTATTTTAATATTTCATGAATTAGTCGTCCGTGATTGTTTAAACACGCTTGCTGCCTATAGCGCCATAGTGATGTCTGAAAATATTATGACAATCCTCGATGTCTATACGATGATTAGTGATGGTGCAGTTACAAATCTAAATAGAACCGGGTCCTGCTCAGTAATTAGTGGTGCGGGCGAGCGATGCTTTCTGCGAACTAATCAGGTGGCTAAATAATGTAGTCGTGACGGCATCGTTAGCGCTCGTGAGACAGACGTTATTAATTAACATCACGTTGCTCCCCTCCCCTCCGTGACGCCCCACCCCTCTGCCGGCAACTATCCCTTGTTAGTGAATGGTTTACATTTGGTGCAACCGATACCGTCTAATTAATATACTCCCGTAGCTAACCGAACTCCTTCCCAATTTAACATCCCAATTCAGTCGTTCATTTAAATGATTAAAAAATGTCCGATATAATTCCATATGTTTAAAATTTTTTGATATTGAACTTTTCATTCCGATATTGGGCACGGGCGCATATTTGCAATTTTTCCTTATGCATATGCAATAACGTGTGCAAACAAACAATGTTTCGTACCGGAGGGAATTTTATAACATTATGCCTTTCCGATCGTTGTTTATATTTTCATGTTGAATATCGCTTCGCATGTAAGAAGTTGCAAGACGGGCTTTTCCAATTAAGGGCCGGCGGGCTATCGATCTGGCGACAATGGGGCGGAGGTGGAAACTGCTTGATTGGGTCATCTCGGGAATTCCTCGTGGCTTCCTGAAACATGACTTGACGGAGGCGACCCTCTGCGGCCAGCGGACATGTCGGACGCCGATGACGAGGCCAAATTCACGGCGACAAATATCCGACAAGGCACCGATAACGCCAGACAGTGTGGTCAAAATGGCACTACGACACGTACGGTTATGAAGCCGAAAACTTTCTCTAGTTTGCGCAATGCCGATTGAGAAGTTTTAAAGACTATCTCTTCTTTTCTATTTACCACTAACATGGAAAATTGCAACGATATGTCTAATTTTTACCTTTTAAGTTGTTCGTGTTTGCTAATTTTTTATACAGACCAGCTCTTTCATTTCTAGATATAGGAATTCAAAACACATTTGAGTTACGGACATGACTGTTGCGGTCGTAAGCAACTATTTGCGGGCTTGTGTATCGCAAATAGTCTTCCCGTACCGTCTGGGATTCGAACGACACGTCGAGCTTAAACTGCACCATACGCGCACTTAACGTTAAAGTACTTCGCAGTACTTTTGATATCAATATTAACCAAGCTTTAAAAGGCATTTAAAATAAGTAGACACCGACATTATCTCAGACCTACTACCTAAAAACAAAGATTCAGCTGCGTAATAATTAAAGTTTTTGAAAAGACAAATATACCGTTTCAATAAAACATTTTTCTATACGTTGTTATACTTTTTCACAATATGAACTTGGTTTTAATTATACTGTTATTTATTTTTTGCCATGTCTTGAGTGAAACTCAAAAGGTTATAAGAATTTGATTGACGTGAGAATCATTAAAGCCCATGCGTTTCTTTAGTGCGGTACAAAGGAACATAGGCTAAAAACATTACCCTCTTGCTTCGCGTAGTCGGGTTAAAAGAGCACCCATTGAGATTCATTAACAAGTCAAAAAACAAAAGCGACTTTAAATATCTCATCTCTGTATTAATTTTGTAATTGATTTTCAGGAGTTCCCCAAGTATCTCCGGACCCCAAGATCCGATACAAACGAAATTAATACGAGACCATATGGAAAGCACAAGGTTTCAAATAAGAAAAAGAATCATCAAATTTTTGTTTCTTCATTCTATTGTTCATTCCGTCGAAAGTTCTGAGGTAACAAACATAAAAAAATACAGTAGAATTGAGAACCCTTTTTGAAATCGGTTGTAAAGTTTAAATTTGGTCTTTCGTTTATAACTTAAACATTTTGGCGGGAAGAGGTTTTCGCTTCCGAATACCCAGTCCTATTAACACATCGGCGTATGTTGTGGAGGAGGCACATATCATGTCGCAGCCAGGAGCGTCGTTAAATCGGCAATAGCGACGCCGCAATACCGACTCGGACGTCTATTTCACTTCGCCCAACTACTCGACAGTGTTTTGGACGCATTTGAATCCGAGAATACGCCCGTTGTTCAGCCCACGATTACGGAGTAATAACCGGTCCCGTAATCTTCTAACGGGAAGTAAATGGGAACTTTTCTGCGTTATTTGAAAAAAACATTAGGAAGTCCGGTATAAAAACACAAACCCTGTACGGAACTGTTAACATTATATTTTTGAATCAAATTTTGTTTGCGTTTGTGTCTTATTTTTCAGTTCTTAAAACTATGTTACCGTTATAACTCTATGTACTGTTGATTGATATTATGTATAATTAATCCCTAAGCATGTGTTTCATTGAAACTTTGTTCACATTTGTAGTACAAAGTTTTGGTACATGTCTTCGGTGCATTCATAGTTAATTAAGCAAGATTCCTAAATGGGTAAGCGTGCGTCGGCGAGGGAATGTGTGATTGTTTTATTCTAAATAAACCGACTCACGCAGCTCTACTAATTAAACGATATGAGAAAAAAAGAACTAGTGCGTTAATTGGCTAAGCGTTGCAGTTCAGTGTGGCGTCGCCGACGGGAGATAATAAATATATCATTGCGAGGTCGACTGCCTCATAACAGATACGTATCGAACAAAGGTATTAAGCATACAGACTTCTTAATTAATTCAAGACTTCAAGATCGCGTATTAGGTTCATTCGGCGTTTCCGGCTGCGCGCAATTTCGAACTTTATTGTCCTAACATACGGAGCAAGTGAGCTTGCGCAACGCTCAATTGGATTGGTTTTGGGGTTATAAGGAACAATTTAACAGCGACGGACTAGTGCGCTAAAACTAAAAGCTCGTCATGGCCGTGCTGCGAAGTGGATATCGGTAATCGAATCACGGCTGGGGATTGGCCCGCCGGACGCCGCTTAGACGCTGTCGGGCCCAGCGACGCACGGACAAAGAGACAAACGAAATTAATTGGGGGTCATGCGCCGGCGTAATCCAATCGCGTCTCCGGCTGCGGGCCTTTTGCGCGTCCAGTTTGGGAACAGCACCAACTTGCGCCCCGCAATTCGATTGCACTCGCGAACTCTGTGCGACGATAATCGAACGTTCGAGTTTGTTAACGGAGTCGGCCGCCAATTGGACGGACGGCGCGGTTGTCAGTTGTCCCGCGACGCGGTATGACTTCGTTTAACAATCGACTGACGTTCAATCCGTTCCTTTGCAAACTTAAGAACTTAGACGCTTATTAGTAAGGTAATATATTTCAGGGTATATTTTTAGCCGACTTCAAAAGGGGGAGGTTCTCAATACGACAGATTTTTTTTTATGTTTGTTTCTCCAGAACTTTTGACAGACTGAGCCGATTTTGATGATCCTTTTTATTATTTTAAAGCTGATGCTTCCCATGTGGTCCCACATTAATTTCATTAGTATTGGAAATGGGATCCGGAGATACTTAGGAAACTCCTGAAAAGCAACTCTTAAATGAGTACAGAGCGAGATATTTGAAGTCGGTTTTGTTTTTCATTAGTAAAAAAATGACATGTTAGACAACCCTATCTAGTACCACCTAGGGTTGTATATGATGATAAACATAATTAATCAAGTTTTATCTTATAAATTAGTAGATGTTAAAGGTTTAAAAAGACCCAATAAATAAGGAAAAACTAAGTTCAACGCACAATATTTTTCCCGGAATGTGAATTGAACCCAAACCCTTTGGAGCCAGAACCCTTACACTCGTCAATCGGGTCGTCTATATTAAATTAGACAAATAAAAAATGGATACGAAAATTGATTGTATTTAATTTAGTACAATGTCATAACCAGAGTTGTAAGTAATATCATCATCATCATAATCAACATTTCAACCTGTTAGGGAACAGGAAGTATAACATAGGTGTAGTATATTGTAAAATCTTTAATTTGTTAACAGAAATTGTAATCCCATACGACTATTGCTGCTTATACTCACCGAAACAAAATTCTTTTAAACAGATCAAATAATAGTTAGGTACATACAAAGCAATTTCGTTTTATTGAAAATAAACTATTCTAACGAAAGAGTTTATTATATCGACTGGTATAACAAATTAAATTAAATACGACACGATGCAATAAGTATCGTAACACGAAACAAATAAAGACTAGTTTTGTCTGAAAACCGTTCATCTTCGACTTCGGGCTCTCGATTCCAGTAATAGAACGAATATTCAGTATTGGTTTAGGTTTGTTTAAATTTGGGTCATTAAATAACTCGTGCATATTGCAGCAAATAGATAGTTACGATAGTTACTCAGTTTCATACAAAATATTAGCTAATTGACGATCTTTTGTAAATTAACAATTAATACATTAATGATTATAAGTAAGTATTTTTAATATTTTTTATAGACAATTTGAAATGAAGAAGAAAAAAAACTTTCAGTAGATCGGTTGAGGGCAGGAGGATGATGATGATTTGGGGTCGGCACATGTGAATCATGTTTTTGGCTCTGTTTTTACGACCGTATGTTTTTGGCTCTGTTTTTACGACCCTCAACGCCTGACGTCAGTCAACCCTCCTTGAGAAACAAATACCCAGATTCGGGGCAATTATCTGTGGTTTACACGAATACTTGTTATGTGTGTGAATCGAACCCACGACCCACGACCCACGACACCGAAGCCAATAGCTTAGCAACGGCACCACCGAGTAGATATATGAATAAGAACACCCAGAATCTGATAAAGAAATAACATAATCGTAAACATACGAACAGTTTTTATTTTATTGAAAGAAAAAAAAACATAGGAGATAGACGATTAATAAATAACATGTTTTCAGTATCTAATTGGCTCATTAGAACAAAGCTCAAAACACTGAAACTCTATGAAGAAAGATCAATGTTTGTGTTTTCATCCATTAGGAAAAGACTGCTTGTGAATCAAGTTGTACTGAATGCATGTAGCATGTTTGTTATAGTGAATCCGTCAATGACGGTCGAACCGTGATGTGCAGTTCATTATGTGTTAACATGACATACCCATATTAATGGCACGACCATATAGTCTAGAATTAGGATATATACTATCGTTTTATCTTTATATATCTGCAAATGTGGTTATCGCATCAGGTGAACAAATAAATGCGATAAAGACTTTCAAAACTCTCCCATTGAACATGGCCATTCCATAAATAAGAAAACGAAATTAAACTAAGTATCTCGCGGCATGAAACAGGTTGAACGCAGCGATGGCGCGTAAATTTCCAAACGCGGCTGAGCGTCTCGAAAGGCGTCCCGCTTAAGGGAGCTCTGGCACTTTGAGGCGGGCGCGACATCAGTTCGCGTACAATGTCAATTTGCACAAGAGAAACGTTCGAGCCGGGCACAGGGCCTCATTAGAGGCGAGGCGGTTGCAATTAAACTGTGCGTCTTTTGCGCCTTAACGAGCGCCCAAATTGGGACCCGCCCGCCCTGGACACGTGCTTTAATAAAATACGTTTTGACGCCGCGCGATTATGTCGCGCCTTCTGTTTCCGGGTGGTATTTTGAATAAACGCGTCGCGATTGAATAGTTGGTCATTGTCATTGTCACTACATAGTATAAAAAAAAGTCGTCCCGCTGTCTGTCTGTCCCTATGTATGCTTAGATCTTTAAAATTACGCAACGGTTCTTGATTCGGTTTTTTTTACTAGATGGTGATTCAAGAGGAAGGTTTACATGTATAATATATTGAAACTGTGTGATGCCGGGGTGGGTCACTAGTTTATTAATACATTATTGTATATCCCTTTCCCAGTGGCCGCATTGAAGGCACGTGGTCGGCCGCGGTTTAAGGTCTCAGCGCTCGAACTGAGTTTCCATCTTTTTATGCATTCGTGTGTCATGTATTGCGTATTTAAGTGCTGAATCATCACGTGCTCAGTGGTGAAGGAAAACATCGTGTGGAAACCTGCATATTTTCGAAATAATAAAAATATATTTCAAAGATATGTGAAGTCTGCCAATACGCAGTAGGGTTGCGTGCTGGATATGACCCAATATCCCCTGCACATAGGAGGCCTTTGTCCAACTGTTGGTGGGACTTGTACCAGCTGTTACTTTACTAGTTTACTTTGTGTGTTGCGTATTAGCGATAAATACAACCCGATGACAGAGGTACGGACAATTACTAATCTTGTCAGAATGAATATAGATATACGAGTATCTTTGTTTATAATAAGCCTACAAAGAATAGGACTCCAATCGTCGTATAATTAAAATACCTTAATTATAATTAAATACCTTCTTATAACTCAACCGTATTCCAATTACCTTTAACTAGGTCAACGCTAACAACGACTAGGTTCTAGTTAACGTACAGGACATTTCAACTTCGTGGAAACTAGCTTTTCCATGGGTAAGGTATTAGATGAAACTTTATAATCTCTGGGCTGAAAACGTTACTTCTGTTATTATATTAATGCAAACAAAACACAAAAAGACGGTCAAATATTCACGAGTGTTCGGTATCGTCTTTTATTCGATATACCCAATATATATTGAAAAATAAAACTATGTTATGCTATTTCTATATTTCTTTTTAATGACGTATCGAGGTATCTAGGGAATATTTAAGGCATAATGTTAAACGTAACACTTCGAAACCACGTTCACCGTGAGGGCATTCCGCCATATAGACGCATTCGCCGAGAGGAACGTTTAAAACTAGAACATTCTCGAATGTGGAACTACAAGTTGCAAATGCGAGACCTCCGCGCCCGCCGCACCGGGGCGCCGGCAAGAAGTTGGGTTTCGGAGGCGGCTCGTTAGCGGCGCGGCTGATTGCCGATTGAGCAGCAATTGCCTTGATTGACGCCGCCCGCGCCGCCCTAACGAACCCGCTTCAATGTCTGGACGTGCCCAGGGTTACCGCGCCGGAATTCAAAAACGCCGGACGGCTCCCGGGAATGTGTTGCAGTTTCGAATTGCAAGCGGCGGATGCGCCAAATTGACGTTTTCAAACTACACTACACTACCTACACATAGTATAAAAGAAAGTCGTCCCGCCGTCTGTCTGTCCCTATGTATGATTAGATCTTCAAAGCTACGCAACTTTTGGGATTACGCAAGGATCTTAACGCGGGGTTTTTTTTTACTAGATACTGATTCAAGAGGAATGTTTATACGTATAATACAATGTACCCGTGCGAAGCCGGGGCGGGTCGTTAGTAACGTATATGTACGTTACTTTCATCCATATCAATTTCCTAATACTTCCGCGTCGTGTATAGAAAAAAAGCATATAGTTATAGCAGAAAGTCCTGATGACTTGATAAACTGTCACCTCTAAGCCTTCTGTGTAAGCGTAATTTCGTTTTCTATGTACGCGTTATTTCATGCAATTCTATAAAGAAATTAAAATTATGTAAATTCTCTTATTATGTTATAGTGACCTATTTAAGCATGGTTTACTTCTTGTTCTCTTTTCATTATGGTGTTGGTATAAGTACAGGGCGTAGAAAACACAACGTATCTTTAAAGTGTACATAATAGTAAACAGACATAGGGAAATCAAATCAAAGTAACATTTTAAGATTTATATACACACTTTTAATTTTAACATGTCTCCAAAATAAATTTGAAATAACTGTAGGTACGTAAAAATATTGCTAAAAATGCTAGATCTGTCTTGTAGGCGTTAACGTAATTTATATTTTTATTTAATACTACAATCAAGACTTGTTTCAAAATTATACAGAGGAAAAGCTATACGAAGTGGGGCACCGTGGTCACCCTAGTCACGTATCGTCTTTGGGAGGTCTTTAAAAAAGAATTTCGACTTTTTTGTTAATTGTTACTGATCAGAAATTTAAACGTGGTGTGCAACAAAATACATTTACTATAATTTTCAACAGTTAGTTTAATTGTTTAATTGTTTTTTTTTATATGTTAGTGCTTAGAATAAATAACTTGTTAATATAATTATATCCTACCAATCTTAATTCGAAAAACAAATTCTTTTAGTTCTACATAGTTAAAGAGTCTCATTCGGAACTTGTATAATTTTAACTTTTTTCAACAACTTACGACTACTAAAGCTACTGTAAAAGTTTTTATTTCATCATTCCTAGTCTTTAAATATTCACATCAAAATCGTTTTTCTGATTTCATCTATATTTTGGGAAAGGCTGGAGTATTCCGTTTATGTGGTTGAAGTCGGCTCATGTCCGAAGTCCGTAGATGCTGTACGTGCTACGAGTTTTCTGATTGCCAGTTGACTCGAATAATTTGATTCGATTGACGTCGTCGAAGCTCTACGGATCCGTTCGGAGGCGCACTACGCTCCTGCATTGTTTCGAACGTGTTTCGCAATGCGCAAACACATTCTTCAAACAAAGACGAATCACGACATTAGAGCGTGATAATTTAACGCCAAGGGAGGAAACCTATAAATCATAGAGTCAAGTTTAGACTGAATATTTGTGTTACATCTGCTCGCGTTTTCGTCCCCGTGCGTACACAATCGGATGGCGCTACGCGTACGTAGCAATCAGTGGAACATAACGCTCTCGGCATCTTTACAGAGGCAAAACCGCAATCCATCATATCGCGACAAAAGGTGCGGAACGGGGCGTCTGTTGTTTGCGTGACGGAGCGTTAATTTCGTTAAGGAGCCACGAGAAGGGAAGACGGGCGCGCGAGGCCGGGCGACCGCCGCGGGAGCGATTCGAGCGGATTACGAGTATGTACCTGGAGGCGCGGGGGCCGACTCGTTAGTTGTTGTTTGCCGAGTGACGCGGGTCAATCAGCAGAGACATGCACGGAACCGCACTTCTTCATCCCCTCCGTCCCTCAGCCCCTACCGCGCCCCCCGCCGCCCGCTCCCCCGCCGCTCGTTAGGCCGCGCCGTCTCTGTCAACTGTGAGACGGGCTTTATCGAATCTACGACGCACGAGCCGCGCCGCGGTCGGCCCACTCTTCGCTCCTAGTTTGGCGCACAACCACCGGTAAACAAGGGAGATCAGCGTTGAACGAATTTATATTTCCTTTATCAACGACAAATGAGGGGACCAAAGGTTGAACACGAACACTTTGGGACACGTTGACTGTGTTAATGTTAATTAGGCAGTTTGGTCGGTGAACGGGAAATCAGAATGATAGGGTTTGTGATTCTGGCGATGATAACGATGGGCGCTTGCCGAGTAGGGGCTGACAATTCCGTTGATTACATAGCAAATTCTTTTAGTTCGATTAATTAACACTTTTGTGATGTTTAAAATACTAAGCGCCGTGATAGCTCGGTGTCCGGGCTGTCGCTTTTAGTTCAACATACTCTAGCAATCTGAATTCAAATGAGGCAGCATAAATGAAATTATTAATTATAAGTGCTGACTTGTCACGTGCGAGTGATGAAAGAAAACAATGTGAGGAAACCTGCACATTTTCGAAATAATAACGAAAAATATATTTCGAAGATATGTGAAGTCAACCAATCCTCAGTAGCGTCGGTGCTACTTTACTTTACTTTTAGTAGCGTCTCGGTGATAGACTATGTCCTAATATTTCTTCATATACATTTGCCCAGCAGTGGGACATGCAAAGACCGTTACTTTTACTTTACTTTACTCCAAGAAAGCTGAGGTTCGCGTAGCGGTGCACTTGTGACCTAGTAAAACATTAAGAATTAAAATTAGTTTAATTGCCGAATCACATTTCAAATTAGAAACAATGCTAAAATTCAATTTACAACTTATTTATAATAGCCAGAATAGCTCAGTGTCCGGGCAATCGGTTTTTTTACATCCTCAAGCCACTTGAGTTCGATCGAGTTCAAATACTACCGGCACCAATGTAATTGTTGTTTGCAATTTTAAGTGTTGACTTATGACTTGCAAAGCGGCGAAGGAAAACATCGTTAGGAAACTCACATAATGTCGAAATTCATAATTTCGAAAATATTTCGAAGATATGTGAAGTCCGCCAATCCGCGCCTCGGTAGCGAGGTGATATAGTACGACCTAATGTCTTCTGCACAAAAAATGCCTTTGTCCAGCAGTGGGACATATATAGGCTGTTTCTTTGTTATTAGATTTATATGTAGTAAAAATTTACGAAATGAAAGTGAAATTTTTCTCCGTACAAAGTTTAACGCGACTAACACATTGGTCTAAACTACGACGTGTTAACATTTATAAAAAAAATTCTTATTAATTTAACACTGTGATTTCCAATATTTTGAATAATGTACGAAAACATATTTGTATCACATTTTCAAATACAACACGTACAATAGCATATTACTATTTTATTTTTCAAAGAACTCCGGAAAGCACAACTGATCTAAATGTACAATATTAAATTCAATTTAATATTGTAGATTTTTGCACTAAGGATGTAAAATTTCATGGCTGTTGATTTTTAGATAAGGCAAATGTAATGGGATTCAAAGTTGACATGTTATTAGAACACGAGTTCTAATCAGGATGTTAAAATTTACGTATGATGTTGTACATAATTATTGTCAAAAACTTTTTCATCCTACAAAACCCTTTTTTTTTTTATTATCTTCTGCCGAGTCTTTTAAAAAATAATATGTATGTACAGTTAAAAAAGTCTGAAGTACTGAAGAACGACCAAATCTAAGTTATGTAATTTATTACTTGATGCGGTATACTAGTTCCCGCTTTTAATTTTCCTATCTTTAGATGAATCTATTAAAAATCATATTAATTTAAAATTAAATGATCTCTGAATAATGATGAAACTGTCAAAACTAAGTTGTGTGCTTTATAACTTAATGCGACATAATAGTTAATGGTGTAACACTTTCACCCTTTTTTTTTTCGAAGAAATATATCGAGGCAGTTTGCATTAATGAAGTTTCAAAAGTGATTACGGTCTGTAAATTGGTAACTTTTCCCAGATTCTGGAAAAAGATTACAATGGTTTTGTTCTCAATAAACAGTTCGTAAAAGGTCATTATTAGCTAAAGATTATTGATAAAACCATTAGTGGTCTAAGAAATAAATTGTTGGTGTTTTGCTCGCATGCTACTAGATTGTTTCTCTTTTAAGGTGCAGTCTATAGAATAATACACGAATATACAATACAATAGAATTTTCTCCACTAGATAGATTTAAATATATTGTATGAAATCAAATCTTTGCACACCTTCCATCGCAATCCATCCTAACGTCATACGTAATTTCAAATGCTTGCATTTATATGGTTTTACAACATAATATCTGGGGCAGAGTAGTTTATTTTGTCTATGGGGAAGCTAATAATACGAAGAGAAGAAGAAAAGTTATAAATACTTGTTTTATTTATTCCAGTAAAGCAAACACTCACAACGAATGAAATTAATTATGATTTCGTTGGTACGTTAAAATTCGTTGAGACGCATCCATCTAGGATTAAAAAAATCTTTCACGTCGCTTAATATCCTAATAAATCTTTTATGACGTATGTTATTTATTCTAAGCGATTTCATCGTACTTTTTTACGTATGTCCCTTGGTTGCGTCTCGGAGTAACATAATGAATTCGACGGCGGTAGGTAGGATGTACTGCTATATGGTACGGTTAATTAGTGGCGGAGCGGAGTAAAACTTCGCTGGCGACGTCCTAAATTAGTCCTTAGCGTTTTTTAACGAATCCAATTTAGGCGGGCCGGGAGACGCCGTCGATCGGCCGCTGCGCGCAGAACTGTACTTTTTGCCCCATTCTCAGGTAGAAAATACAACGGTTCGTGGCATTTTCATAACAATGCGCCCGCGGCTGTCTTGGTATACTTTTTTGGGTGCCCGAAACGTTTGACAGACACGCCATTGTCATCGTTAGATGACGAACTAAAAACCGCACCTTTTACAGATAATCAACGGCGGGGATCGAACGTGATTTGAACCGAATACCGAGCCGAAACGGCCGCTAATTAACGATTTTTAACGAGGCCGCGACGAATAACCCCGTTTAGGTAACTTCGTCGATGGTCACAAGAAGCGGCCTACATTGTGTAGCAAAACATCAGATATGGCGGGAACAGTCAAAACATCGATAACAACATACAAGTACGTAAAACAAATTACGTAATCGATATATGAAATGGCGCCATGTAGTGACACTTTCCTTATTAATATTATTAAGTGATATCAACAGGGCCCACGTAAATAAGCCAAACTGACAATTGGGACATTTAGAGCTATTTGTAGAAACGCCGTTTTAAAAACAGCATACATTCTTTGTCATTACTTTTTGCTTTTTTCATTACATTACTTTTTGCTATTTAAAAATGCACCCGAAAGATCATTTTGATGACTCCGTGTCGCAGTTGCCCAGTTATTGGCTTCGACGTCGGGGGTAGTGGGTTCGATTCCCACACGGGACAACTATTTGTGTGACCTATAGATAGTTGTTTCGCATCTGGGTGTTTTTCCGCGTAAAATTTATGTTTGTAAAACGTCCTCACAACACAGGATAATGTTATCCTAAAGTAAGTAGCAACGTATTTAAAATAGAAATAAATAAAAAAACGCAGACCGGAATAACACCGGCACTTGATTACGTGCAAACTTCATAATTATATGCCTCCACAAAATTCAAAAAAACCTGGAAACCCCATAAGTGTCGCACTCCACCAGGTGACGGAGCGCAATCAATGGAGACACCTCGTCGATCAATTAAATATGAGTCACGATACTCAGCAGTGAGGGAACGACTAAGGAGAGACGCCTCCACAACCATGTCAGCGTGCAAGATGGCTTACGTCATGTGCGTGCACGATGGCTTACCTCGTGTAGTCGTTCTTGCAGAGTATCATGCCGCCCTTGAAGTAGAACGAGCGGCCCATGTCCGCCAGCGCCTGGCCGCAGCACGTGCACTTGAGGCAGCCGTGATGCCAGTATCTGTCGAGGGCGTGCAGCAGAAAGCGCTCGACGATCTTGCCGCCGCAGCCGGCGCATTCCTTCAGCGCTGGGTTGTTATTGTTGTGCGGGTAGTCGTGGCCGTTCGCGGCGAACGCGGCCTCCGGCGACGGCGGGTGAGGCGAGCTGAGCTCCCCGTACCCGTGGTAGTGGGGGTTCATGCTCAACGCGCTCGCTGCCAGCTTGACGGTTGGAGCGGGGACCGCTCGCGCCGACCACCACAACTACACGCCCTGCGGACAAGGGACGGGTGAGGTTTTACTTTCGATGGGCTCACCGCTTTATTTTGTCAAATTGAGGCTATTATATATAAGCTTAAGAATGCTGGCACCATTATCAACCGATCGAGTCTGAGAGATCTGACCAGAGTCCGTTAACTGGTGGACACTTCCTAATAGGAAGGTCTCTTACATCGCTGCCCGCACCAGATCTACAAGCCGTCAATGCAAATTGACTAAGCTGATTCACATGAACATGTGGCGGTCATATGAGTAAATCTGTGAGTTGTACATCTGGCATTGGATTAGTACAGTAGAGGTAATTTTAAAATCTGAGTCATTAGACTGTCGTTTGTTAATTTTAGTTGTTTGTGGTTCGTGACGAAAGCCAACAATGTAAATAAAAATAATGGCCAGTGTGGTCAGAAAAAAAAATTGATGTTTTCATGTCATTCATACAGATTTCGATTAAGCGTAGCACTCTGTTTTATGATCATGGATTCTGTAGAATGTTCGAAGAAATTTAATCAAACTGCAATTTCCTACAAGTAGGTCATTTAGCAATATAACGACCGTTAAAAATATACCTATTTAAACGTATAGTTGTTTAACGAAACGGCTTTTGATTTATTTAAAAGGTGTTGTTTTATGTAAATACAATGCTTCACTGGCAGCTTTTTCTATAAAATTTGATCATGAGAATTTACAAAAAACGTCCGGAATCTTGTTAGATTACGGATCTGTAGGTCAGTTACAAAGGCGCAGTGTAAGGCATTACTGCTAAAAGAATGGCCTGGTGACAATTTTAAAAATTGCCTGCCATAAAAATGAATATATACGCAGCCAGGACGTCCCCAGGTGACAAAAACCGGCAGCAATTCGGGGCCCGTTTCGCCGACGCATGGCGTAACGGTTTTTATTAAAACTTTTTCGCGGACGGACAGGGAAATCACGAAAGATTCGCCACTCAATTACGCAGATACAAACAACAATAGCTCTGACTGCTCAGGAGGAGAGGACTTTGTCCCGAACGGGTCGGTTGACCCTTTGAATTAATTTTTCTTCGCGGCATTTTGGGCAGCGGGGCGAGCAGGGCAGGCCTGCGGGCGGCCGCGTTTATAAAATTTTCCAATTAGCAATTTCATACAATTAGAAGCAGGGCGAGAGCTGTGCGGGGGCGCGGGGCGGGGTGCCGGGTGCGGGGCCCGAGGAGTGCGTCAACCCGATCCAATTAGCTCGCGGCCGGCGGAGCGGCGGGACGCCGTCTGAGCGGCCCTGTCGCCATAAAACTTAATTAAACGTTTTAAAACAAGTATTCATTAAAGAATAATCAAGCTTATGTTGCCATAAATAACCGGATTGTCCCGCGCGGAACGGGTGCCGTAATTAAGACTGCACAGAGTTGATCAAACGCACTGATTTGAAACTACCCTTCATTAAGAGAACGCGACGCGGGGCCCGGGAGCTTCCGCTGCGGTGCAGAAACTAATTAAGAATAACGGACGCTTTAAAAGCGTAATTAATTTAGATTGTAATTCTATTTCCCCGGGACTAAAGTAGACAATTATTTCAGTAGCCCTTTTACTTCGGAACGACTCCGTTCGCTAAACATAATTCCGTGATTCCATCGTCCAAGGGAGTAACTATTAAAATGTTTTCAGCGTCGGAGCGCGGTTCGCGTTCCGTTTCGGAGTTGAGACAAGCGCAGTGTAGGAGCCAGGCATATTCATAAAGGCTGATCGCAATTGTTCGGGGCCGTAGAGTGGAGAGCGTGCGGAAGGCGATTACGTGTCGGCCGGGCCTAATGAAGGCAATAAGGGCCAGGTATTGGTGGCGTGTAGAACACCCTGCGGCGTTGCATGTCTACTAATGAGCGGGCCGTCGCGTGCGCAACTATCTCGCTTCGTTAAATCGAACCGAGTGCCGCCCGATTTACGGAAGCCGCATTAATGTCTTCGTTTTTGTTAATTTCGCGAACACGTGTTTGCCTCGGCGCACGTAGTCCCAGATCCGTATCGCGAGCCCGGGCCCTGTTCTTTCGGCTTCGATTAGTTTCGATCTGTAGATTTTGAACTGAGCATTGGGACATTCAGAACAACATTATTGCAGTTTATGGAATTTAAAGTATCCGTTATAGTTCAAATTTCATAAGCCCTCCTCCATATTACAATTTCCCAATGGTGGCACTATATCTATCTAACGTTTTTGCATCAATCTTATTTCGTCGCGGAGTGATAAGTTAATATTGGAATGAAAATATATAAGAACTGTTGCATAGCAACCGTAAAAGTACATAATATATTTCAGGTACTAAACAATTACAGCTACTAATATACAAAGTTATACCATAAGAAATTTAACAGGAAATAGATTACGATGCCTCTTGGTAATAAAATAATAACGTTATAACATAACCGAGCGTTAATATATGTTTTAAATTTTGAAGAGCTTGGACGGTCTGGATGGATTTTCATGAATAATTGAAACATTTTGCTTTAGTGTTAAATACAAATAAAGCTCATAAACTCGTGGTGAAAGAAAGCAAAGAAACCAATATCGACAAAACTGTGCGTATCAAATAACAATCGTATGAATGTAGCAGGTTGTTATTACTCGTGTCGAACGTTACGCTGCGTGTACGGAGGGAGGGCTGGGAACCTGCAGGTGTCGTTTTCATTATTCAGGCGCCATTGATTGGATACTTTGTTGCCGTTTAAAAATCTTATTAACGGACGGCAGCCCGGCTCGCAACCCCTATTTACCTGTTAAGTGATTCCTTATTTTCAATTACAACGATGAGTCACACATTCGGATGTATACGGCGAAAGTGAAAGTCATCTTGTTAGCGAAAGGTTTTATTTCGCCCGCTTTTCCGCGACGCTCCGGCGTTCGTTAGGGCGCACTTCGATGGGCTTGCGTATTTCCATACGGCGGGGTCTCGAATACGCTATTATGATAGTGCCTTGAGCACTCGCCTATACAGCTTTACTGGTGTTAACTGAATAAACATTAAACAAAGGTTTTTGTTTTTCAATTTTACTAACAGTATGTATGTCAGCTGCTTACGTTTTACTAGCATTAATTTTATTGTAAAGTAAACACGAATGATTTCTAAGAGTCAGTGATATATTTGCAACCACCATTTCACAAAGTGGGCCCCGTTTACCTCACTCACCAGACGAAACGCAGCAGTATAACACTTCCACTTAAGCCGGTCTTCTGCGAGATCATGGTACTACCCCCGACGGACCTGCCAATTCGAGCAACAGAGAAGAATGTCTAGAACGTTAAATTACATATTTATAACAAGTAAGTTAAATTACATTAGGCGAATAAGTATATGAAATAACCAAAGCTGAACTAATCAAAAGTAAATTTACTCAATATTTCCAGACTTTTATCTGTACCATTTCGATACAGCTTAAAACAATGTGTCTAAAGGGTAAAAAAGAACATTTTCAACGTACATTATTTTCTGCAGCAAAAGGAGGTTACTGTGAATTACTACTTAACTACGGATATTGATTAGCAGTTCTTAACTGATTCGCTACGTTAAGTATCTGCACGGAGGATTGATTTGGTGAACGTTAAAGAAAAATTTTGATTATTGAAGGTGTCGAAACTATGCTACACTACTTACCACCATAACAAACCGCTTTGAATTAAAATTTTATTATTTAAAATTAGGGTAAGTTCTGTAAGAGTAAAAATGTGTTTAGACAGCTTTGACATAATTAACCTCATAAAATGTTATGATACGTACTGCACACATTTATGAACGTCTTTAAATAAGGAATGAACTAACGAGGTTGAACTAACACCAACAAGGGAAAAGCCATATTCGGCTCTTCATTGTGCCAATAAGGCCTAGGGCCAAAATGTTTTGCTGATGTGCTCTATCTCCCAGGCCAAATTAGGATTTAACTAATTAACTTACGTCCATCCATTTACCATCTGCCTATTTAGTCACGGGTCTAAGGTCACGTCCGAGTTGGAAGCAAGAATTTAACTAAATATTGATAAACCGGTGACACTGTGCCTGAATTATCTTTCGTACTTATTAAATAGAATGATTACTTTGCAGTGAATTATAGCGGAACATATTATAATAGAGATCAGGTATATTTCAAATTAATTCAGCTAGTATACATTTAATAATAATAGAAAAAGGATACCATACAATAAATTTGTAAAAGAACCCACACACATCCATGTGGCGTAGTACTATAAAAACAATTGATTAACAAACAAAATCGCTTTGGCACTATAAAATAGCCGATGGCTACACCCAGTCAGCATTGAATTATGGAAGGGTAGCATACTACACGAATCAAAGTGGTAACGGCACAGGTGCGCACATAGTACATTGAATTGTAATACGAAAGAGTAGCATTTGTATTTTGTGTGGAAGGGGTCCATTTTAGTCTTCCCTTCGAAGACGTTGTCCTCTTATTGTAGCGTCACATTATCCTATGTTGTAAATACGTTTTACATACATTTTCATGTGAACAAACAACCAGATCAGAAACAATTATCTGTGGTTCACACAAATAGTTGTCTCGTGTTTCAATCGAACCCACGACCCACGGCGCCGAAGCCGAAACCTTGTCAACTGCGTCATGGAGTCATCAAAAAATTGTGTAGCTACGCTATTACGGCTACACCAAGTAGAAAATGGATTATAGTAAGTAGGGGTAGCTCATAAAACTATCGGAGGACCTAGAGCTTTGGTGGGGGTTACAACGCCCACCGGTCACCGGCTCACGGGCTACGCTCCGCGGGAGCTGCGGCCGCCGCGAGTAACGTAATTAAGGCGAAACCGCCGGGCGAAATTAAACGCGAAAACGGAATGAGAATGTGAGCCTAATTAGAGCCGGGGGCGGAAGACGTTGCACCGGCACCCCTCCCCCGCCCGGCAGCCACCCCCGACCCCTAAGACTCAC